CCGTGTATTCTCTCTCTCTTATCAGTAACTTCTATGTAATTATCGATTTAAGTTTGCGTCAAATTTCAGGCTTTTGCTAATTAGATATGAAAATATTAATTCAATCAAAAAACAAAATTCGCGTAAATTTTTTCTGTACTTTTTTTTATATTATAGCCGTTCTCTCTCTTTACTGAACCCTATTTTCTCGCGATTCACATCTCATTACAAAATAGAGGAGCGCTTATGAATAGTTAATGAGTGTCTAAACCACAGCCTCTGTTCAACACTACAGTGTGTATAACAACACACACTATAACTTGTTTATAGACTTAACGTTAAGTCTCCCCATTAAATGTTAATATTTTAATTCGTGGGTGTTTTTAATTAATTGAAAATTCGTTTTCTCCGTCAAGAATTCACTAAACCATTAATGAACTCTCAAATGGCTTTTCATTCGCTATTGTTTATTCATATAAAACACTATATCTTATCATATAATACACCAAAAAGAATATTTTTTTAGTGAAAAACTCATTTAACTATTTAACAAAAGTCTCATTTATACGTTCACTGTTCAGAAAAGCGTAACCATTTCTCTCTTCTCTCATTTCTTTTTAATTCTCTCTCTCTCTCTCTTATCAGTAACTTCTATGTAATTATCGATTTAAGTTTGCGTCAAATACTCTCTCTCTCTCTCTCTCTCTCTCTCTCTCTCGTTTTTTGCACAATAATGTACGACAAAACTTAAAAATCAGATAACATTAATAGAAGTTTGTATTCAATATGTATTTTATGTTTGGCTCAGCGATAGGGAGAACAACAGACAGACATTAACACTTCATTAACGATAGTATTTCTCAAAAATGTAATTGTGTTACAGATTAACCTTCTATGTGAATATTCTCTCTCTCTCTCTCTCTCTCTCTCTCTCTGCTTGAAATGTTATATAATAGTATTACAGTGTTATTATTAAAGCATTCATTCATTTTATACAACATTTGTGTGAAACGAGACATTAGACGATATGAGTTATCGCTTATCAGTCTTTGTTTGATTGTTGGATCAATTAATACGATATGATCTCTCTCTCTCAAAGACTGACTCACAAATACTTTCTATCATTCATTAGTCTCTCATTCAGTACTCAATAAAAAACGAATTTATGTTTAGTTTTTAAAAAATAACATTTAAAGGCAAAATGAAAGTGTGGTATATGTTAGAGAGAAAGAGAGAAAGTATACATTTTTAGCTAATGATCATTACATTAGTGATAGTTCGATGAAAATTGACCAAAAAATGACATTAAAAGTAGAGAACGTAGGAATACAGGCGATTATTATTAAGATTATTACGACTACAGCATAGATATTACACACTATTATGATATTAGAGGTTTTGGTTGTATAGTTGTTGTATTCAATGGACTCTAATCCACACACAAATGCACAACAATTGGCATATAATGTGGTAATATGTGGTAATGAACTTTGTTTGCAACTATAGCTCACTATCATTAGTGGTCTATCATTATTACATCTTAAAAAATATATAATTCTGCTATTCTTTGTGTGTTTGGTGTGTTTGGCCCCCATTTATAGTATTTTTATATAATATTCAAATTCGTGATCGGGAACACCCCAGTGGTCGTGCAATTCATACCAGAGTCCACAGTCTCCACAGTCTATTCAATCCAATGCCAATGTTTGGTGCGATTGTTGTGTTTGAGTCGCCTTTTTTCACTCAAAACTTTACTCTTTCATTATTATCATCTCGAATACAGAGAGGGATAGAGTGGATAGAGAGCTAATAACACCTATTGGAGAATAGACAGCATAATTACACTTACCTTTGAAGTCAGTCTCATTTCGGGATCTCTCTCTCTCTCTATCTATCTCTCTCCCTCTCCATCTCAATGTGTATGTCCTTCAGGCGCTCATGTGTTTGTGTTTGAGCTGCATATCTATAATTACTGTATCAAATTATGGCATTCACCTATCCGTCGGTCCCGGCACCAGCACCGCCACCAACTCCAGCACCGGCTCTCTTATATACCACAACATATACATCAATATAACCAATGGCTAATAGTGGGGGAGGCAATCAAGTATTCAATATGTATAACATATACTGTTTCTTACAATTTCTTCTCATTTAATACCAGTGTTAGAGAAGAAAAGAAAAGGAGAGGGAAAGGGAGAGCGAAAGAGAAAGAGAAATGAGGGGAAAATCACTAATTTTTTCTACATTTCTCTCAACGAATCACTCGTTGCTCTAAAAGAGAGTCTTTATTGTATGGATTCTTAACCTGAAAAATAAAAACCTTTTTTACTAATGATTACATTTATAGTGTAATGCAGTGCTAGACTGACTGAGGGAACATTTTTTGGCCTTTTTTGTAGAGAAAAATATTTGAAACTTAAAATAAGAGCCGGTTATTAGATGTTGTGAGTTGTGATCATTGAAGGCGAACCACCCCCTGGAGAAAGTCTGACTCATATTTATCAATAGATATATACAGTATATATTTGTGGATTGAATTCATACCACAATACAGTGAAAGAGAGTGAATGTGTTGTTTAAATAGATTATTATAAGTTTATATGAGAGGCAGAGAGTGGCAAAGATGTGATATCCTTGAAATGTAATTGCCATCAAATTAATGTTTGCTATTAGTCTGTATGTATAATATGCGAGCTCTGCCACCGACTCCTCAGTCCTCACATAACACATCACAACCAGTGATGAACTCACTCTCAGAGCCAACAAAAGAAAGAACATTTTCTAATTCTTAACATAAATAGTGCTTTTCAAGAGAGGGAGGAGAGAGAGAGAGAGAGAGAGAGATTGTCGAAAGTCCAGCTCTTGTGTGAGTTAATCAATGAATGGAAACGAAGGAAATGTAGTGTTAATGGCATTAATGGCGTAAAAATGTGTTGCTATGAAAGCGCGTGAGGAGTCGATAGCGAAAAAAAATTGCAAAATATAATTAATTGTTCATTTATTTTGTGTGCCGTTTATTATTTACCCCAAATGTCGAGCCGTTTTTCATATGTCTTTGAATTATGTTTACACTAATTAGAAAATATGCATTCATTCAGTCATTCAATGCTCACCCGCTCTAACATTAATGATAAGAACAAAATAACCATAAAAATACGAGTCCTTTCTCTCTCTCTTTTATACGTGTATATAATGTTTATATAAATTATTAATCTTTTTCTCACTCATTGTATTTCAATGAAAAACAATTTTATGCAATTCTCTCATGAAGTCAAACAAAAGGCAGTAATGAATGGTTTAATTAAATATCCGTTTATGGAGTGCTTTTTTAATCTAATAATTACCACTCATTTGGGCGCTAAACTAATTAGTCAAATGCACTCTCATTTCATTACGCCTTTCATTAGTTTAAGTAAAATAATTGCTTTTCCAGTAATGAATTGAGAGAATTATCTTTAAATAAATGCTCTCTTTTATGAACCATTGGTTTTAATTTGTTTTTGAGGTTAGCGTTCATTTCGTACCAACAATACCAACAATTGTTACAATTAATGCATTCTTTTAACCAATATTCTTTCTTTTTCTCGTTGTTTTTCTTCTACACTAAACCTTTGCCTTAATTTGGATTTTTGTGATTTATAAATATATAAATTTTATTTTTATTATATAATACTGTTTTGCAATTAATACACATAAAAAGGTGAGAGAGGGAGAGAGTGAGAGGGAAAGTAGATTAACTTTGACTACAGTCCTAATGTAATAAACTGTTGTGATGTCGCAATACATTGTATATATCACACAATATATCGGTAGACCATATATAGCACGACTCCGACTCTTTAATATCATATCAGCTTTGAAACAACAAAATGAGAAAAAATACAACAAAACTAAGAATCGAGAGAAGAGAAAGAAAATAATATTATTATTACTTTACATTTGCGGATAAATAAATGTAACACAAAATAAAAAACTACAATACAATAGAAAAGCATAGTTTGAAGTGGTTGAGTTGAATGCGGTCCACATCGAGCGACTCGGAGGAAGTGTCAACAATGAGCACATCGTCCTCCGAGTCGGTGGTGTCTTGAGATATGTTGGGATCAATTGATGCCATTCTTTGTCAACACTCAACTCGAGTCAATGCGAGCACACGATTCACAACCCATTCATAAATAGCGTTACGTTTTATCCAAACTTATGTAACGATGGCTTGAATTGTGAGAAGAAGTGATTGTAAAATGCATTCAAACCATGAATTAAATGAGTTAATAGAGGATTAGATCTTTGCCTAAAAGACTCCGAGTATTTGATCCCTGTTTTACTGTTTAGTTTGTTTTGCTTTATTTGTGTCTAAAAAACTTTTATAACTTTTTTTTCTAAAACTTATGATTACTTTAAAAAGTTATCCAAAACTTAAGGAACAACTTCTAACTAGAGATTGAATAATTAAAAATTACTTATAAACTGATTGTGAATTAACATTAATAAACATTGATTTTATAAAATGTTTAGAAATATTTAAAATTTAATGAAAACATCAAATAAAATCCCAATTTATTCCATTCATTCAACCCTTCAGTCCATAAAAAGTTTTTTAAGCCAAACTCTTATTGTAGATCTCAATTATTAATTTGATTGAACGCGGTTGGGCTCACTTCACATCCAGTTAAGTACTTTAATCCTTGAATTTGGTGTTGAGTTTCATGTGTGGACTTTGTGTCCAAATGTGGACACATTGGGTCTATGAGAGGCCCATAAAGAGTGGTGTAAACTTAAGACAAACTAAAGTGTGATGTCTTATATTATCACTAAATTTATAAAAATAAATACAAAATTTTTTAGCACTATATTTAAACCCATTACAACTCTCACTGCAATTACAGCGAAGCCAGTGATTCAAAATTATATCATTAAAAAAATACAACAAAAGTTAAATGAAAAAATGCAATATTTATTCACAAAAAAACTTTTTTTAAACTAAATTACAAAAATAGACAAAATTTTAAGTTACAGTACAGAAAATGCTTAAATTTTGACACTACAAAAAATTTAGACAATCAATTCAGCCATTCATTTAACAGTCAATCGAGAGGTATTTGCGATTAAATCGTTTACTTTTTGAGGTATCCGTAACCGCCATAACCGGCATAACCATAACCGCCATAATAGGGGGAGGCATAGGCCGAGCTGTAGACGGCGGGTGCGGCGTAACCACCGTAATAGCCAGAGCTATATGCGACGGGAGCGGCATAACCACCATAGTAGCCACCATAGTATGGCGACACCACAACGGCCATCGATACGGCAACACAGGCCAAGAAAGCAAGGGCAATCTGTGCGAATACAACAAAATAGTGCAAATTAAATATATTATTTGTAAAGTTTATAACTTTATATAAAGTTCATAAGTAATAGCAAAACAATAAAGTTTTAGCCCCACGAAAAGAAGACTCACCATCATCTTCATTTTGTTTGGGAGTTTGGAGTTTGTCTTTTGCGAAACAAATTCAAGTGAAGAGATGTGAGGATTATGTGATCTTTATATAGCAAAAAGCAAAAGCATTCCTATCCTTGAGATCCCTTGAGATGACCAAATAGTGTACACAGAATACACGCGAAGACCTTGTGTTTGATAATTATATTTTGGGTGAGGTTTAGGTGGGCTGTGGGCTGACCTATACTGCACTGTCAGACAGTTGTTGGGAAAAAAATACTACGCGAATCCAAAATGTGATTTCAATTAGTCTTACGTACGAGTGATGTATTAAAAACAACTCTCTCTCTCTCTCTCTCTCTCTCTCTCTCTCTCTCCTCCCTCTCTTGAAAAGCACTATTTATGTTAAGAATTAGAAAATGTTCTTTTCTTTTGTTGGCTCTGAGAGTGAGTTCATCACTGGTTGTGATGTGTTATGTGTGAGGACTGAGGAGTCGGTGGCAGAGCTCGCATATTATACATACAGACTAATAGCAAACATTAATTTGATGGCAATTACATTTCAAGGATATCACATCTTTGCCACTCTCTGCCTCTCATATAAA